TGTGTATAAGAGACAGATATATATATATACATATATATATGTATATATATATATATATATATATTCTAGTTAGGTTTGCTGCGTGGATAAATAATAAAACAATAAAAAATAACACGCACACAATGTTAATATTATTTATCTATTTGTATATATATATATATATATAAGTTTATTTAGATAATATCAAATTAATCATGTACTGTATATATAACCAAGCTACTTACCTTTGTATAACAATAGCCATTTCATTTTCTTTCTTCCTTTGCTGCCTTTCTTGATGTCCTCTGTAAACTCTGTTGATATAAAATTCAAAATTACTACGAGTTCGTACCATACTGGAATACATCGTCTTTTGACATTCTACGACAGTTGACGACCGTTGGACGGCGTTCGTAGGGATCGCCGAGCGATGGAAGGTGGGAAAATTTCCCACGATTGCGGATCTTTGGAAATTAGTTGGCATCGTTACTCCAGCACGAGACAAGACAGAAGAATTAGATCGCGATTGTAAATTCCGGGTCATCGTCACGTTATTGCTCATAATTAATCTGAATATCCCTGATGGATAACTGATGTCTATGCTTCCAAGCTATCCAAGCTACTCTTAATATATTTCACCAACTACTATTTTTATCGTTTCAGTATATAAAAAGTCGCTTAGCAACACAATATCGTGCCTTATCAATAGTTGATGGATTTCTTAACACAATGTGCGTGTCGCGTGTAACATCGTTATTTCTCTTTTGTGTGTGTGCGTCCCTAATAAAGATTTCTATTATGAATTATGTTTACCACAATGAATGGTTCATACTTATCAATACGCAATTGTTCGTGTTTGTATTATATGTGGGCAACTTTTATTAGATTAACGTGACAATGATACTAGTATTATACCTTAGGGGCGCTCTAACAAAATTCGGAAAGGAAATGTATACTAATTAATATTTGTTTTCAACTGTAAATACTTATGTTCATACATTGATGGTATTTAATTACTACACCTTCTTCGATGTTTTGTTTGGACATGCACCTGGAATTATATTTGTCCAGCATATTAAATTTCGATTGTTATTTACTATATCGGCAAAACCACTAGGCCAACATGTACACATTTTCTCACCATATGTGGATAACAAAATGAACACTATTTATTTCGAGAAAACATGATGCCTGATCACGGAATGGTGCAATTTCTGACGTAAACGTAAACTTCGAAACATTACCTCTGTATCATAACGGCTGCATCCTTTTCCGATGGCCTTTTCTTCAATGCGGATGGGAATGTTCCATTTTCTCCAGGGGGATTTGTAGCCGCATCGATAGTTACCGTTGTGGGCGGACGTCCAGCATCTTAAGTGGTTTAAAACAAATGATTTCATGTAAAATAATAAACATTATAATTCAAAAATTGTTTGTAATGTTGTATGAATTATGAAACTGGTTGACTTAGGCCTATGTGAATTTAGTTCTAAATAAGATAGGCCTTAAGTCAGAAGTTGAAGTATACACAAACGCTATCTTCTAGTAATCATTCATTTCATCTCTCATCCGGCATTCACATCTGTAC